CAAATGGCCAAGAGATAGACTTTTCAACAAATGGTGCTGGAAAAACTGGATCTTCACCTGCAAAAAACCGAAACAGGACCCATACCCACACCATGTACGAAAAACAAACTCAGGATGGATCAAGGACCCAAATATAAATCACACCATTATAAAGATCATCGATGAAAAAATAGGGACTTACGGACCCTAATACAGGTTATACACACGCTACCGAACATAATGAAAATTCCCACACTATAGAAGGCAATAAAGAATGGGGACCTACTAACAATATGACATTTATGCACACCAAAAGACTCCACAAAAAGACTGAACAGTGAACCCTCAGATTGGGGAAAATATTCAGTAATACTATATCAGATAAAGGGCTAACTTTCAAAATCTTAGAAAGCTACAACATCTTATGAAAGATACAAATAGCTCAATCAGAAAACGAGCACAAGACATGTATAGACAATTTACCAAAGATGACATCCAGGTGGCCATGAAGAAGTGTCCATGAACATTAGCAATAAGATAAATACAAATTAAAACGACGAGCTATCACCTCATACTAACATTTTTGGCAGAATTCAATAAAACAGAAAATAATAAATGCTGGAGAGGATGTAGAAAGATAGGGACCTTCTACACTGCTGGTGAGACTTTAGAATTGTACAACAACTGTATGGAAACCACTATGGCACCTCCTTAAACAAATACAAATACAAGTACCTTATGATCCAGCAATCTCTCTACTGGCTATATACCCTAAATACATCAAGAATATAACATGAACAGACATTTGTATGTTTATTGCAGCAATATCCATAATACCAAAAATATGGAACCAACCCCAAGCCCCAGTTACAGAGAAATGGATAAACAAGCTCTGGTACATTCGAACTACAGAATATTATGCATCAATTAAAAACAATGCCAATTCTCTTAAACACTGCATGACACACAAAACTAGAGAGCATTATGCTTAGCAAACTCAGTCTTACAAAGATAAATATTTAATAACACCATTGTTGTAGGGAAAAATAAAGAAGATGAAATGTGTTTCACACACCAACAAACACAACTTAGATGAGTATAAAGAGGCCAGGGATGGAAATGAGAACAGGGGGAGGGGAGGGTGGGTTGTTGAGTGTGGGGAGGGAGGAAGGATGAGGAGGGAAAATTAACCACGTATATGGGGAGTTTAATGGGATACTGTTGTGGATTTCATTTCTTGAGATGGACTGTGTAAATATATACAGTATGTTTCTTCAAAAACTCCTCCAGATTCCTTATCCCTCAAACCTAAATAGTGGAACCTTGGAGAAAAAAAAAAAGAGGAGGAAAAGTAAAATTGAAATGGATTTGGCATCTTTACTGACACAGAAGTTCAGCTCACACAAACAAAAAGAAGATGGTAGCACTTTAGGTGAGGAACTGAACTCACCCCCTTGTTGGAATAACCAACCATTTCAGATTACAAAGGGAACATTTGTCCAAGAACAAGACTCTGAGAGTTAGGAAAGAAAGATTAATGGAAGCAGGAAACCCAGGGAGGAAGTGGGATAAGTGATGGAATGTTGACGGGATTGTAATGTATGAGTTGGAACAAAATGTGGATGAGTTGTTGAATGTAAGATGGATTAAAAACACCTTCACTGTGTTAGTCTGGGTAGACTCAAGAAACAAATCCATAGACACTCATGTGTAGAAGAAAGAGCTTTATATACAAGAGCAATTGAATTTGAGAAAACATCCCAGCCCAGGCCAGATCAAGTCCATAAGTCCAATATTAGTCCATATGTTTGATACCAATCTATAAATTCCTCTTCAGACTCAGGAAGCACATGCAATGATGCAGAATGCAGGATGATCACAGGCCAGTGGGTGGAAAGTCTTGTGGATCCAGAGGCAGCAGAAGTATGTCAGCACTGGCAGGGGTCTCCATGTGGCTCCTTCAGCTCCAGAGCTCTAGCGTAGCTCCATGTGTCTTCTCCACAGAAATGTCTCGCAGGGAGTAAACGTGCGTCCTGCCTCCAGCAAGCTATTTATCTCCGTGACGCCTCCAAATGAGGTCATCAAGCTGCGACCTGATTGACAGGCTACACTCCACCCCTTCACTCTTAAGTCTCAAATTGAGAAAAGATTATGTCACTCTTAGATTCACCTAATTTACAATAAAAAGTAAAAGAAGAAGAAGAGATGGAAGAAAAAACTGAAAATCTGAGCACTGAAATAACCCACACCGTGGAAATGATCAATGGATTTGCCCAACTTTCAATTTTCAGCTATTGTCTGTACTGTTATGTTGCAATCGTCCTCTGTTATCATCCATTTACAATGAAATTGTACAACAGAGCCTGGAGGCAATGACCGTTGTGCAGTGATTTTTCCATGCGAGGAGGGACATAGGGCAAGAAGAGTGAAGAATAGCTGCCAGTCTCCAGGTGAGAGTGGGCAACAGACTATAGGATGGGTGAGTAGAAGTGTCCCCAGGAATCCTAGGAGGAGGGCTGACCTCCCATTGTCTATAGAACTGACACCTTCTCCAGTTCACTTGGATATTAAAGTTAAAGTAATCCTAAGGCCTGCAGCACGTCCTGGAATGCTGGTTATGTGAGAATGAACTTTTGGTGTCACCATGTAGCCAATGGAAATTCACCTATTCCTGTAGTATTGTTTCAGATTCTTGCTTCTGAAAGAGGTGAAAGAGGCAGAGGGTCAGGGGCAGCAGCAGGCTGATGTGAAAGCCATCATTACTACAATGGTCACCTAAGTGACCAATTGCCCGGGATAACTGACCGTTGAGGCAGGCAGACGGGCAGATGTTTTATTGCAGATTATCTTTGCAGGATACACAAAAGACAACAAGGGAAGAAAAAGAACATATGGGGACAAAAATGGTGAATGGAAACTTGGCTCTCAGTAGGCGCCAATGATATTTGGCTTTGCAAGCCCCAATAACCCTAAAGAGGAGCCCTGGTGGCATACTGGTTGCTCATTGAACTGCTAACTGCAGGGTCAGTAGTTTGAAACCACCAGATATTCCATTAGCCTCTCCTCAGGAGAAAGGTGAGGCTTTCTATTCCCCTAACTCCAGTCTCAGAAACCCACAGGGGCAGTTCTACCCTGTTCTGTAGAGGAACCATGAGTAGGAATCAGCTCAATGACAGTGAGTCTGGTTTATTTGTTGTTGTTGTTTTTAATTGAAGTTAAAAGAACACAGAACTTAAAAAGAGGTCATAGATCAGAAGATGGGCTCTTAGTTCATTAAACCTAAGCTGGAATCTCCATCTCACCTTTTTAGTTTTGGGAGAGTAACTAGATGAATGGATGAATGGATAGGTAGACAGATAGATGATTCATCTTTCCCTTGTCTTCGTTCACTTTGCCTTTATTCAAATGTTTGATTGCTGGGTGTTGTATTTTTGCTTACAGTTTTTGTCTCTGTCTTTTGGCTTTGCTCCTGAAGATTTTCCACAAAAGTCAGCATAAAGTAACTCTTGAGAATTATATATTTACACATAGGAGATCAGTCAGAATGAAAAGCTGTTGGCTCTGAGGAGCATGACGAGGTGGAAGGAAGTGGGTGGTGATGCCGCAGTTTGTTGAGCAGGGAGAATGGACATGGAACCAAACAGACGCACACACACACACACACACACACACACACACACACACAATATAGAGCTGCAGCACAAAATAGACAAAGACAGAGATGGTACAAAACTGCATCTTGACAGCCTGCAGTGCTTTATTTTTGAGTACTAAATACTGGCAGTGCTCCCAGACAAGTTTACTTTTCCCACGCCTGAATTTCTCATAGGCTTGAGAGTGAGTTCCCTATCTTGGCCCATACCATTTGTTTACATGCTACCAGGGAAATACTGTTTGCAGCTGCTACCACAATGTCCTTACTGTTTGCAGTAAGGAAGCTGTTTATGAGAACCAACTAGGACAGACGTTTGTGTACTGTCCTAGACAGATACATGACACGAGACACAGTGCTCCTCTCACGGCTCCTTCAGGTGGGAAGGTAGGAGACTGTAGGGTCTCACTAGAAATCCTCTGAATGACTTAATTTTTGAACTACTTGAATTTGCTTCATAAAATTGAAAAGAGAATTCATCAACTATTTAGAATCCCATTGCTGTAGAGTGAATTCCAACGCATAGCAGTCCTCAAGACAGAGCAGGATGTCTCCATGTGCTTTCCAAGGCTGTTGACTTCTATGGGGGGTGGCGCCTCATCTGCCTCCTGGGGAGCAGCTGGCCTTTTAGGCTTATAGTTCAACACCTAACCCACTGTGCCACCAGGGTCATTGACATGTGTGATCGTTTCCATGAAAAGCCATTGCTCTAGAAAAGAAACTTTATTCTCTTCAGGTTTAGGGGAAGAGAGTGGAAGTGGAACGATGTCTGAAAGTGAAACTATGGGTCCCTTTTCCGAAGTGTCAAGTTGGGTTTTTGGGTTGTTGGGTTTTTTTTCCAATTTTGTTCTCAAATATCAGCTGGATTTGATTTGCCACCTAATGGTTTGAGTGTTTCAGAGCACCAAGAGTCTGTCAAATGTTTTCCATCTGGGTGGAATCCCCAAGACTATGTTCCTTAGTCCTCCTTCAGGTCTAGAATGAAACTTACCTCCTTAGCTCGATTTTCAGCTAAGGGGCCAGGGACGCCAGGAAAGGATGCACATATTAGAATCATTGGCCATTTGGAAGCAAAAGGGTGGCATTTGCTCAAAGTTCTGAAGGAGGAACAGGAAACACAGGGAAGAAGTGGAATAAGGTATGTTAGATTGTAGGGATTGCAATGAATGAGATGAAACAAAATGTATATGAATTGTTATAAAACTGATGACCTATTTAAACCTTCACTTGATTCACGATAAAAAGTAAAACGGAAAGAAAGAAAAAGCACACAAAATGTTTTATCATCTCTTGGCTCATTTCATCCTCCAAAACATCCTGTTTCGCTGATGGGAAATTATGACCGACGTGAACGACCTGCCCAAGGACACCCAGTAGGAAAGAGGTCCACAATGCTCTCTCTTTGTGTTATAAGGCATTTTTCTGCTGATGCTCATAATGATGTCCCAGGCCATCAAGGAACG